CGAAATAATTCAATGTAAAGATAACCAATAATAGTAATTGAACATTAAATAAGACAATAAAATAAAAACTCAGTAATATTACTAATATTACATTAACAAACAGCAATAAAACAGAATACGTGAACTCCATATAGTCTAATGTGAATAAAGCAATGCATGATAAGAAAATAATTTAAAACAAGTCCTTCTAGTATATCCGCTTGAACCGATTGCCTATGGAAAACAAAAAAGACAACAGTGCACACGTGTTATCATTTGATTAACACAACAACAAATAAAAAAATTTAAAATATTGTATACACGTACTCAATACATAATTTATACAATTCTTCAACATCCACAGTTTTAGAACATATTCGGTTGAAAAATAAACACAACCTGATAATGGTATATCGCACATTCTTGGGTAGAACTGAGCGTAGCGCGATTGGAAGTAGTTGTTGCATCAAAACATGACAATCATGAGATTTAAGCTGATTGAGTTTCAAGTCTTCTAGAAAGACAAGACTTCGAATGATGGAGGAGTACCCTTCAGGAACTTTGACATCATACAAAGTCTTACATAAAGTTCTTTTCTCCTCTCTTGATAATGTGTGACAGGCAAGAGGTATATAAGTTCTTTTCCCTCTCGTTACTGGTGCAAATTCAATGCGAATATTCAACTCAACCAGGTCAAGCCCAGCATTTATTCCGTCTTTACTTTTTCCTGGAATGTCCAATAATGTTCCCATGATATTTATACACACATTCTTCTCGATATGCATTACATCCAGACAATGTCTGACATGCAACTTATTCCAATATGGGAGTTCAAAGAATGCAGATTTTCTCTTCCAATACCTATTAGCAGTTTGCGAACTCAACTTATTGTCGTCTTTCTTGCCCCTTGGGAAGTTCATGTTAGTAAGTATTCTAAAAATTGCATCTCCTGACAAAGGTTGTAGAGCATTTGCACGCTCTTGCCTACCATTAAATGCCTTTTTTAGTTTTCTATATGGATGATATCTTGGTAAAAATCTTCTATGTCCCATGTACACATTTTTTTCCCATGAACCAACCGTATTGAAGAAGTGTTAGTGCCACATATCGGGCAAGCTTTATAACCCTTCAGAGTGCATCCATATAAGTTTCCACACGCTGGAAAGTCGTTAATAGTCCACAACAAGACAGCTTTTAGAATAAACGATTCTTGTTTGTGTGCATCATAACACTGAACTCCATCTTCCCACAAAAGTTTCAAGTCATCAATCAACGGAGCTAGATATATATTTATATCGTACCCCTGTTGTTTCGGTCCTGAAATTAACATGTTCAACATCAAGAACTTCCTCTTCGTGCACAACCATGGTGGAAGGTTATATATTGTAGTTATCACTGGCCAACAACTATATTTATTGTTCCTATCCCTATATTGGTTAATACCATCCGTTGATAAGCCCAAACGTAAATTTCTTGATTCCAAACCAAAATCCGGCCAAAGGTGATCTATTAACCTCTAAGAGGGAGAGTTAGCTGGATGTCGTAAAACCCCATCTACTTTCCTACCAGTACTGTGCCATGTCAAATTCTTAGCATGATCGAAGCTCCTAAATAGTCCAAGGAATCTTGGAATTATCGGAAAGTACCACAACTGCTTTGCGGGAACTCCTTCTTTTTCCTTAGTTGTATCTTTATTTAATTTCCACCTAGACAAACTACAAAAAGGACATCGGTTCATGTGTATGTATTCCTTTCTATATAAGCAACAATCATTAGGACATGCATCAATTTTCTCATAATTCAAACCCAGAGAACACAATGCTTTTTTCGCCTCGTACATGGATTTCGGCATTTCTTTCAACTCTGGTAGGAAGTCACTAATTACAGATAGTAATTCTGAAAAACTGGAATTGGTCCATGAATATCGTACTTTTAGGTTGTATAATCTTACTAAAGCTGACAACTTCGTGAATTTTTTACATCCAGGGTATAATGGTTTCTTAGCATTATCAAACATATTTTCAAACGATTTCGGTACATGTGAAATTTCATCATAAACAGTCTGAACCATGTCAATCACATCGAACAAATCATTATCATCTTCGTGATTCTTATTGAACTCGTCATTCAACCTATCCTCATCTGTTCTAGGTGCATGTTCTTCACCATGCCAGAACCATACCCTATAGCTCTGATCAATACCGTGTTCGTACAAGTGATTTCTAATGGTTGCAGCATCCTTATCTATACGGGTTCCACATTTCAAGCAGGGACAACGTATAATCTTAGAACCATTTGCGTGATGGAACCCAAATTCAATGAATGACTCGACTCCTAACTCATAATCCTCAAACAATCTATTTTTTTCATCCATGATTTGTCCATTGTCCTGATATTAGACAACTTATTAAATGATGAGGTAAACAATTTGTTGATGATAATATGGAAAAGAAAGAAACTACAAGTCAACTAATTTTAAGGTTTTTCAAAGTACATCAAATATGGACAGAATGATTAAACTTGTTGTCAAACTTCAAGAGCATGAGATCATCCCATGAAAGACATCGAGGGAGGACCATCCCAATAAAGAAACTACCATGACGTATAATGGTCAGTAAAAGGAGAAGTTTCATAGAAACAAACAAACTTGCAAAGATATGAAGGCTAGCAAATATCGTATCTAACTTGGTTAGTCTAACAATTAGAAAACTCTCATAAGGTATAATTTAACTAAACTAACATGGAAAAAATAGAAGCCTTCCTATTCCTATTTCATATTCCCTAAAATATAGCAAATACATGCACTTGTTTTTTTTTCTTTCTTCCCCACTCATTTTCCTTGTGTATATAGCAAAAGGATTGAAGAAAAATTATTATGATTGTTGTATATATAAGAAAGTTATTACTAGTGATGTCTTTGTTCTACTCCTCCTCTATGTCGATGACATCTTGATAGCTTCTAAAGATAAAAGCGAGATTGAGAAGATAAAATATGAACTTAGAAGTGAATTTGAGATGAAGGACTTGGGCAAGGCAAGAAAATTCTGGGTATGGAGCTTCATAGAGGTTGTCCAAGAAACTCATATTGTTTATATCACAAGCTGAATACTTGAACAAGGTGATAAAACGTTTCCATTTGGAGTCTGCTAAGACAGTTAAAACTACATTAG